AGTTTAACACGGCACAGTAAAAAGTGTCATTAATATAAATTGACTACCTACACATTATCTATATATGGTTGTTTTTATTTTCCCTATTGTGTAGGAGAGAAAAATGAAATTTAGAGATTAACTTTCCAACTGAACACACTCAGCTACAGAGAAACAGAAATTAAAAGTATCATTTTCTTCTTCTAAACTCTTAATACTGAAATCATTGTTCTCCCTCATAAACTTTTGCATTTTCTTAATCCACCTGATGAGCATGGGAGCTATGGAAGATACAGCTACAATTAGAAGCACAGTTTGTAAAAATAAGTGTACTGAGTATCCTTATTGAAAAGCTCTGTGCTGTAGTCATATACGGAGGAGTCCCCTATAAAAGCTGGGAACCTAGAGGCACCACATATGCTCCAGTGACTTATTGTTGCTCAAAACCTGTTTAGAACTTGTAGTGTAGCCCCAGTTGTGGAAATTGTTTCCTTAATAAATATTTTCATTCACTCAATTAATATGTTTCCTTTTCTGCAGGTCCTATGGGTGGGATCTGGAACTTGATTATGGAAACAATTTAAAAAATCAAAGTCAAGTTATTGTTCAAGTCCAAAGATGCAATATAACTTTATTTTATTGATTTTAGAGAGAGAAGAAGGGAAGAGAAAAAAGAGGGTGGGGGGAGAGACACAGAAAGAGATCTGTTGTTGCAGTTATTTATGCATTCATTGGTTGATTCTTGTGTGTGCCCTGACTGGGGATCAAAACCACAACTGTTGCTTACAGGGAAAATGCTCCAACCAACTGAACCACCTGGTCAGGCCTTAGGAAATTTTTTCTTTTATTCTTGCCCAAGGATATGTTTTTCATTGATCCTAGAGAGAGGAAGGAAGAGGGAGAGAGTAACATCAAAAGGTTGCATCCCATACACACCCCCACCAGGTATCAAACCCACAACCAGGGTAGACACCCTGACCTGAAATAGAACCTGAGACCCTTTGGTGTCTGGGATGATGCTCCAACAGACTGAACCCCATGGGCCAGGACAATACAATTTTTTAACATGCCTGGTTCTCTGGTATGGCTTCAAATTATTTCAAGGCAATTACAAAAGCCATTTTTAAAAGTGAAGCTGCTGAATAATCTGTGTATTGGTTGGATCCTCAGTTCTATCCTCTTTTAATCTAATGAGTCATGTTGTAACTTTCTTTATTTGTGGTCTAATTATTTATGCTTAGTACTAACATTTATTGTCTCCTGAGAGCGGGAGGCCACATTGAGGAACCCTATTTTAGTTCTAAGTTTATAGTATATAAACAATATGTTTGATATACAGTTTAGTTTCCCCTCCCTGCTTTTTTCTCCTGTTCTCTCCCCCTCTCTCTCCCTCTCTCTCTCTCTCTCTCTCTCTCTCTCTCTCTCTCTCTCTCTCTCTCCCCATTAATACATTTTATTATTCAAATTCACATTTAGAAAACTTTGTACCCGGTTACTTTTTCTTTCAAAGGGTTTATTTTGTGGCCTGGATTTTGAGAGTGAAAATGTACTAGCACTAACTTTGCTTAAAATGAGGATTTATCACACCATAAAAACCTCTCCTTCCAACCAACTTCCAGTCTCTGCTAGGGGGGCTCTCGGCCAGTTCAAAGAAGAATCAAGTGATATTTCACGGTAACATCCCCAGCTCACAGAATCGTATCTGGCAACGTGCGCACTTTAGATTGTAACTGAAAACAGGCACGTTTACCCTGCCTCTGGCCTGACTCCAGACATTGGAAATTTTAGAACATGGTGCTTTTATGCTGAAACATTACACAAGCCCCAGACTGCAGAAGTGCTGTGCTCTCACTGCTGCTGTGTGAGGGAGAGAGTGGCAGAGGGAAATCAGGTGTGTTTGGGTGGCAGGAAGCAGGGAGGAGAGGAATGGACCCCTGAAAGGCATTTATTCAATTCAGGCATCTCCCAGCCGGGGATGAAGAAAGACAACACTGAAGGACTTTTCCAATGCCTCCTCCCGCTCTCACAGAACACCTACGAACCGAATGAAACAGCACTTATCACTGGGACGTTAAAAGCCACGTTTCTTGGACTCTGGAATAAATCCCTGTCGTCTGGAATGTTTAGGCGCCAAGGATCAGAAGAAGGCAAGGTCTTGATTCTGACCTGGGACTCAGAAGTCTCTGGATTAAATGCTTTAAGAAAAGGTCCCCTTTCTCTCTCTCTCTCTCTCTCTCTCTCTCTCCTTCTCTCTCCTTCTCTCTCTCTCTCTCTCTCTCTCTCTCTCTCTCTCTCTCTCTCTCTCTCTCTCTCTCTCTCTCTCTCTCTCTCTCTCTCTCTCTCTCTCTCTCTTGTTTCCAAGTCAGCTTTTTCCCAGGAGGTAATTGCAAAATCCATTTGTTCTCAATACATATTTAAAGGATCGCAAAAAAGGTAAATTCCCTGCAACCCACAGCCACCATTCAAATATAAAGAAATGAACCAAAAAAAGGTATGCCCTTTCGCCCCTAAGACAGACTGAGGCAGGTGATGGGAAGGCGTCTGTCACTGATTAGGCGATGCCAATCGCTCGACCGCCCACCACCGTTCCTCCAGCCAGTCACCATCGTTCCTCTGGCCAGTCAGCCAGCACACATCTGGTCAGCACCCACTGAGTCCCAATGAGCTGAGCGGGCGCTGGGGCACTACTCCTAAGAGACAGCCCTCCCTTTCTCTCCCCTGACATTTAAAAGCCTGAGACAGATGCAGATTCGCCAATAGAAACGAATTCAGAGCAACCATTAATTTAATTGTTCCAACAGAAATAAACCAGGCCTGGGGTGGGTGCCAGAGAGGAGGTGCGGGGGGGACCCGGTTCTGCCACTGTCTGGGCCGGTCACTTGGATGTCTCTTGGACCGTCTGAGCTTCGGTTTTCACCACATACAGGATGAGGGTGGAAATAAATTATCCCCGGGCCCCTTTCAGCGTTTAAGCTTCTACTTTTCCAAGGTCGTAGGGAGCCTTTTGTGTCCAGCACTACTGTGTACCCTAAGGAAGCAGTTATCTCTCTCTCTCTCTCTCTCTCTCTCTCTCTCTCTCTCTCTCTCTCTCTCTCTCTCTCACACACACACACACACACACACACACACGTCTCAGCCTCTTGCCCTGATTATTGATTATGTGTTTCAAGTTCTTAGGTAATCCCAGGTATGCCAGTGCTCAGAGAGAGCACGTTTTCTTTCACGTTAGGCAGATTTATTCGTGCACCGTTTTACTACTGAGTACTGCAGTGCAGTTGGCTGCCTTTGCAAAAGGGGGAGGGGAGGAGGGGCGTTATAGATGCAGCTCTCCTTTCCTTTGGGGACGCGGAGGTAGCTGAAGAGGACACCAGCAGCCCCCGATGTGAAGAGCTTAAAAATGTCCAAGGGGAAACTATGTTTTCCTGGGAAAATGTCTTAGGCTCTGCAGGGCGTTCTGCCGCCGCACCTCTGCGCTCCGCTTTCCCGTCGGAAGGCAGGCAGGCAGTGTACCTTTGGGGCTCCGTGGCCACCTGGGGTTCCTGTCCGGAGCCCGCATGCTGAAGACCGCCTCCCCCCCTCACCCCCCGTCCCCGCTTTCCCAGGCGCACCCGAACCTCCGCAGAAGAGCGCTGCCCTCTAGCGACCGAAAGGAGAAATGCAGGGCGACCGGAGCGGGCGACCGGGAAGATTGAAGTCCTGATCAGTCCTTCACAGAGGGCGCTTCTGGCTGGGAAAAGCCTGAAACCCGTTCTCTATGTCTGGGCTCTGGAACTGTCTGTGGTTTCTCTCCAGGGCCAGGAGGGATAGATAGATTCAAGGATGGATGGATGGATGGATGGATGGATGGATAAACAGATGGATGATGGATAAATGATAGACAAACCGGAAAGTAGATGGATGACAGATTATTGGTAACACATTTTTAGGGCTTGCTATGTGCCAGGCACAAAGCTCAAAGTGTTTATTCATTATTTCATTGACGTATCTCGGGCGGCACATTACCTCTGTTCTTATTTCCAAATGGGAAAACTGAGATCTGACCAGAGACATAGCTTGCCTCTTGGCAATATTCCCTCGAGCTAGGAAGTGTGGAGCGGGTCTCAGGGGACAACCCCGCCTCCACCGCTGGCTCCGGGTCCCTCCAGGCCGAGAGGATGTGAGCGTGTCCCAGGCCCTGGGTGCCCTGGGTACCGCGTCCCCCATCCCTCCCTGGACACGCCAGTCCTGGCGTGAGGGTATCACTCCCACCCCGGCACCCCCTTACTCCTCAAACTTTCACAGGGACACCTCGAGCCCCGCACTTGAGGCAGTGAGCTGTCCCCAACTTGGAAGACTGTCTGGGAAGCTGAGTAAATGCGTCTCTTCCCCCAACCCCACCCCCCGCCCCACTCAGTTCCCTGAAGTCTCGGTTCCAGGTTAGGCTTTCCTGCGTCCACGCTTGGCAGGCGGTCTTACTAACGCGAAAGGGGGAAAGCTCAGTCCCGAGATGTTAAGATTCCCAGAAATGTTCCCGTCGTCCCTTCCTTTAGTCATGTGCGCCTGACGCTGTTAGACGTGTTACAACATGGAACTCGGAGCCTCATGCGGGGACAGACAGGTGGATAAAGGGACAGTCAGGTGGATAAAGCTGTGCTTAGTGCCCACCACGGCTGCCGGCGAGGGCGCCCCAGGAGGAGGCAAAGAAGGGGAACAGGTTCACTATGAGCTCGGAGGGTCTCCAGTACAAGTCTAGACATCAAACTCGGTCCTTCTGCCATTCCTAACGCCCCACCTCGGTGCTCCCTTTGGAGCCCGCACCCCCGGGAGTGCAATCCCAGTGCCCGTCCTTGCGAAGGGAGACTGTCTCATCCCAACTGTCTTCCCAAATTTCCTAATGACTACCTTAGTTGGTCATCGGGCTGTGCGGGGAGCAGCAGGCGCCCTCCCGCACCGCCCCCTCCCCTCGGGGGATCCCTCCCTCCCTCCCGCCGGGACGGCCCCCTCCCGCGCCGGGGGCGGCGGCGGGGGCGGCGCAGGGCCTGCGTCAGCGGCAGCCCTCCGGCGATTGGGGCGCGCTCACCCCCCTCGGTTGGGGGCGAATTATAAAGTGGCAGCGGCCGCCGCCAGCCCGGGCACAGCGAGGGGAGGCGAGGCCGGAGCTCCGAGACCTGCAGTCCAGCCCGCGGCCCCGAGGCGACCCCGACCACCACCGAGACGGTGAGACCCGAGCCTGCCCGCGCCCCCGGCCGCTTCTCCCCCAGCCCCCACGACCCCTGCCCCTGACACCTGCCTTTTCCTCTCCCTTCCAGTGTCCTGGCTGGGACTCCGCTTCTCTCTCCGACCCGGCTGCGCCATCTGAACAGCATCCACGTGAGTGCACTTGGCCCCGAGCGCTCCTTGGCCGCGCGCCCCTGGGGCCGCCTGCCTGCCCGCTGGGTTGTATTCCGCAGCGTCTCTTTGCATGGGGTTCCCACCTGTCTTCCTGTGTGTGACCCCCCGGGTCAATGTCATGCCTCCCCGGGCTCCCGCTTTCAAGCACTTGGTCTTGGTTCTTCCCTGCTGGATCTTGTCCGGGGTTGCATGCGCCCAGAGAGACAGCCAAGTGCTCAGCTTAGCCCCAGGCGGGCTCGGGGCGACCGTGCCAATCTGGGCACCGGGAGGTCATCTGAGATGACCCGGGGCCTCTCCAAACTCCCTAGTCCCGCACACTCGCGGCTGGGACTGTCCCGGCGAGGGTCTCTCCCAGGGAACTGCTTGCTTTCGGGCAGGCTCGGAGTTCGCGTCCCTCTCTCTCTCCCCCCCGCAGCCCATGGCGCGGTTCCTGACACTCTGCACCTGGCTGCTGGCGCTCAGCCCCGGGCTCCTGGCCACCGTGCGGGCGGAATGCAGCCAGGACTGTGCCACGTGCAGCTACCTCCTGGCGCGCCCCGCCGACATCGACCCGCTGGTGAGTGAGAGTTAGCGGTGGGTGAGCCGGTAGCGGCCACCGCGCACCGTGCGTCCTCTGATGGCAATTGATCACGGTCTCTGGTGACTTCGGTATCCCGACTGTTCCCCTGAACGCAGACCCAGGTCCCGCTCTACCTCTCAGCTTTGGAGACCCATGGCTACCCTAGGGACCGGTAACCTGGGGATATGGGAGTCCCAATGTGCTCTCTTCAGCACCTTGGAGAGCACTGCGTTGTCACCTCACCTGTCCCCAGGAAGATGCACAGTCACCCCAACTCCTACCATCCCACTAAGGGACCCTTCCACACACCACCATCCTCTCATCCTGCCTGCAGGTAATGTCATTTTTTTTTATTAGTGGCGTTTTTGTCGCCTTTTTTACGTATTTCATTTTTCTAGCCCACTTAACCTGGGCTCCCTCAAGCTCTTCACCCTCCAAGAGCTCAGGGGAAGGGAGGGGAGAGCATAGAAGAGAAAGAAATTGGCGACAGTCTCACGTGCAAGTGATGGTGGAATTCAACTCCTGTCATGTCTTGAATGTGCTTTTGTAAAACGTACTAAGACAACAGTTTGATGTGCCTATGAAAAAGGCACAGGCGGGGCGTCCAGTGTCCAGAGAGATGGCAACAAGGAAAAGATAAGGACTCCACTGGGCCTTGGGCCTGGGGGGGGGGGGGGGGGCGGAAGGAGGAGAGGGAGGAGCTGAGGACAAATGAGCTCTTATTCTAATCAGAGTCCAGGTGCTCTTGAATCACCACGATGCTCTATGGATCCAAATCTCCAGATTTGGGACCCGGGCAGCTTCATTTTAACCACCTCCCTCAAGATCCATTTGCACTCCTCAATTTGTTGAAATTCTGTGACGATTTTAACAGCTCAGTAGAGACTCATGTATTCATCTGAGGAGTCAAGCTCCTCCCTGGAGCCTCGAAGACATTTTACTACGTAGATGCATACAATAGGGACAAAAATCTCAGGGAAATATTCCACAAAATACAAGGCTTCTAGTTCAGGTGAAAAGTTTGTTTCGCTTCCTTTGATATGTGCATGTGCTAACATGACCGTAAAGAGGAGATACATTGTGAGGCATTAAACTTAAACCACAATGAAAATTATTGCCTCTTAAATAGGGGTAAAAACAATTTCACCCACCTTTTTTTCTTCTAATTGTTTTTTGGTTTAACTGATTTGTATGGGAGCTTACATTTTGGGTTGTTATTTTATCTCTGATGAAAGGCTTTGTCAATGACTATGTTGTTAGAATTACAGTGGTAATGGAGTTTTACCTTGGATGCAAAAACACATATGAGAAATGAGATTTCCTAACCAACACCATGTAGTAAAATCAATATAACAGACACTTATTGCCCTTCTACCACGTGAAAGACACTCGTGCTTGGTTCTGTGGCAGATGCAAAAATTCTTAGGCATGTTATGATTGATGTCCAAATTGAATTTATCATCTAATATGACCTTGACCATAGAACACAGAGTGTGATAAAGTAATAAAAATTGCATAGACATATATAGGAGCAAATAAATTTACATTACTTTTTAAAATATGAATCTGCTATTCTGATTATCATTATTTTTTTTTAAGAAATCCTCACATTAAAAAGAATTTTGGTAATAGTGTATAAAATATTCAGCATTAATTTTTGGTAAAGAAATCATTTAAATTATCTTTTAGAATGAAAATATTGACATCTGAACATCTTAATAAGATTTTTGATTTCTAATCAGATATAAAAATAAACAGGATCACTTTAATCAGAACATGTTTAGGTTTTATTAATATTTTTAAAAAATTTTATTAGACACAAAATAGTCATTAAAAGTTGATTAAATATGTATCCTAAAGAATTTTGTTGCACTAATACACCTTTTTCTATACATTAGCAACTAAATGTTAAAAGTAATATGAATAAATAATTAGCATGTGCATAATTTCATTTGGAATCTCATAACTACAAATATTTAGTTCAAGATGATTAACTCAGTTCTAATCAATTCAGGGGGAAGAAAGACAAATCAGTATGTCATAATCCAAATAATTCATAGGATTTAAATTGAATTTTTAGAAAGTCTTTTTTCAAACCTATTTTGAGATTGGTTATTTTTCTAAGACTGAAAATGTTTGCAGGAATATTGGATACCACTGCAGGTAAACTATTAACAAAAGAAAGTAAACAAACCTCATGTCATTGGTATTGATTTTATGTAAGACAAGAAGATAGAAGGAATTTTCTAATAATGTCCCTAATTAGATAAACAGAAATTTCTCCTTTTTGATTAGGAGAAGCTCAAATGAAATAAAATCATTAGTGACGTGTTATCCCATGAAATTAAATTGTGCAGGCAATCAATCTAGGTTAAAATTAGGTGGGGGAGAGGGGGAACAAACCCTTTGCAGTATTGTTAAAATTCAAAGAAAATTTCTCATTTGTTTCAATTAATTCTCCACAACTTTTCTAAATCCATTTCCCTTTGATTTAACTGTTGGGTATGATAAAGTTTTAATAAGAAAATGGAGAGTATCATAAGAGTGCTCATCTCAAAGTAAACATATTGTGGCCCACGCAAACCTGTGTGCCTCACAGAACCAGAAAAGCCTCTTTCTGTTCTCAAATGGAATTCTTCTCCCCAGGCTTGCACCCTAGAATGTGAGGGCAAGCTGCCCTCCCTCAACACCTGGGACGCCTGCAAGGAGCTGCTGCAGCTGTCCACGCTGGAGCTCCCTCCAGAGGGCACCAGCGCCCTCAGAGAGAGCAGCCGGCCCGCCGAGAGCCACTTGCTAGCCAAGAAGTACGGAGGCTTCATGAAAAGGTATGGGGGCTTCATGAAAAAAGCCGACGAGCTTTCTCCTCCGGAGCCAGAAGAGGAGGCCAACGGAGGTGAGACCCCGGCCAAGAGATACGGAGGCTTCATGAAGAAGGATGCAGGCGAGGATGAGGCCCTGGGCAATGCCTTGGACCCCCTGAAGGAGCTGCTGGGCACCGGGGACCACCGCGAGAGCAGCCCCCACCAAGAGGCCGGTGATGAAGAAGTGAGCAAGAGGTACGGGGGCTTCATGAGAGGCTTGAAGAGAAGCCCCCAGCTGGAAGAGGAAGCCAAGGAGCTGCAGAAGCGATACGGGGGCTTCATGAGAAGAGTGGGCCGCCCCGAGTGGTGGATGGACTACCAGAAGAGGTACGGGGGCTTCCTGAAGCGCTTCGCCGACTCTCTGCCCCCAAACGAAGAAGGGGAGAGTTACTCCAAAGAAGCTCCTGACATGGAGAAACGATATGGAGGGTTTATGAGGTTTTAATTACCCTTTCCCATCTGCGACCCCAGGCCCCAAGCAAGCAAGCCTTCCTCTATCCCCCAGTGACACTGCCTTGCTAATCGTGTTCTATTGCCATGTGTTGCTTGCGTTGTATGGCTGACTTGGTTGTCTGAATAACTGCACGACCTGAAAGCTCTCTTCAGGTGCTGTGATCGTTTGAGAGTCTGTAAGCTCAGTACTGGTGTGTTGCAGCTGTCTTGTTTTCGTGCCAAGAGAGTCTTTTGTCACCTTGTCCGTTATTTTTGACAAAGCACCAATAAATGCTTACTTGTTTGTGGATATAATAAACCCGTTACCCTGAATGCATAACATGCTTGCAAGTCTCTTCCTCTCCAAGGTCTTCATTCACCTTTGGGTTCCAACAGCAAATCTTAAACACGAAGGCAGTGAAACCATCTGCTTTCGGCGGTCATCACTGGCCTCCTTCTCTTCCTGCATGGGGGGGCTGCAAAACAGTCTTCATTTAATTTCTTAGGTATGTGATCTTAGAGGAGTAAACACATTAGAGCAAAATAAAATGTATTTCCACTCTCATTTCTAGAAACCGGATGCGTGAAGAAAACCAAAGCCTAAAAAAAAGAAACTAGCTAAGCCCTCATATATAAGAAAATCTGCATTAACATCCAGATGTGTATGTCTCTTCTTCAGCAAAGTATTTTAGAAGTTAATTAAAAAAAAAATTAAGGATAATTTAGCCCCATTTGAATGACAGTGGAGACCAGAAAGGTTTAGTAGTTGGTGCAAGCTTCCCCAGCGGTTGAAGGATAGAAAGAGAATTAACAGCCCAAACTCCTTGCTCCCAAGCAATGTTTTTCTCGCTCTAATTTCCTATTGCTCATCCACATCACTACCAAGAATTGGAAAAACTACAAACCCTATATCGTTCACTATTATTTACCCCTCCACCACAACCACAGTGGGTGCTCCAATATCTGCTGAATGAATAAAGTAATGAATGAAGATATTTAGTGAAGGGTCCCTGGGAAAGGTATTATGGATGTTTTCTACGGCAGATTGTCATCATACAAAGAGCTTATGAGTTTTTCATATGAATTAAACCACAGAGAACAACATTCAGGTACAAAAAATATATATAACATTTCCCCCCTTTCTAATGGAAATTACCTACAGCTAAACTAACCTCTAAGTCTTTTATCCAGGGCCCTACCCATCCTCTCCTTTGTGGTCTTTCCCAAAAAATCAGGGTTTAGCAGCAGAGAAAAACAGAGGCAGAGTCTCTGCTCTGCAGTGCAGCCCTGCAAGCCCACCTGCTCCATTCTGAAGAGGCAGCTCCGCTGTGCTGGGCAGCCCAACCTGGCCAGGACTCCACGTGGCCATGTGCTATTGGAAGACCTAACTTCTCCTAATCAGTGCAAGGGTCCCCCATTCACAAAGCCCCACCAACTCCTCTCTTCCTGATCCTTAGCAAACCAAGTTTTCCTTCCAGGCCAGAACCCTCCTTTAGAACAAGAGGCGCATATAATGTGAGTGTTCGAAGCAAACCGGGAAGAAGGTGACAACCGGCAGCTGACCCTTGGAGATCAGCGTCAGGAGCATGAGGACATATGGGTTGGAGACACATAAGCAATATGAGATCTCTATTCAGCCTTGGCCAATTGTTTTCCTTGGAAATGCCAGCCCCTTGTTGCCAGACTTTTTCCAGAGAAACCTAAAACCTAGATTTTCATGATAAAATCCCAAGGTTTTAATACTGCCCATAGATTCCATTTAAAACAGTGTTGTGGGTGAAAAAGGTGAACGGGATTGAGAAGAGCAATACAAGTTGCCATTTATAAAAACAGTCATGGGATATAAAGTACAGCATAGGGAATATAGTCAATAATATTGTAATAACTGTGTATGGTGCCAGAGGGGTTCTAGACTTATTGGGGTGACCACTTCATCATCAGGTATATAAATGACTAATCGCTATGTTATACACTTGAAACCAACATAATATTTCTCAACTGCAATTAAAAATAATTTAATAATAAATAAATAAGTAAAATGCTAAAAGTAAAAAATAAAACAGCGTGGACCAGACAAAATCCATCTGCAGATCAGATTTGAGAGACATGGGGATAGTCTTTTGGAAAAAAACAAAAACAAAAAACTGTCACTTAATTCTCTCCCCTAAGACAAAGGATTCCTAAACCCTGCAAACAAGAACCTTATTGGAGACAGTAAAAGTAAAATGCCCTGTCCTCTCTTGATAAGTTAATGATAAAATTGTTTTACAATAATACAATGAGTGTTCATACAACACGTTTGAGGAAACACAATTTCACACTCCAATGAATGCATTCTTTTTCAAATCCAGCACCGTTGTTTACACAGGAGCCCTTGCTTTTCTATTTTGAGTTAGCTGGGCAGATTCAGCTAAAACACAGATGATTGTCTGTCCCTCTATTTCCCATCTGTCATCCCTGCTCAGGGCACAGCAATGGCCGGGTGGGACAGGCTACTTACCATTGTACTTCCCCACCCCCGGAGTCCCTGGTGAAAAATAGAAGCCTAGAGATGTGCCACAAATGTTTAGGAGGGGGAAGGAACAGAGGAAGGGGGCAGGGAAACAAGAGAGAGAGGACACAGAGAGGAAAAGGGAGGATGGGACACGATGGCTGCTTCTCTGTAGGTGATTATGATGCTGCCTGCTCCTGCTGGAATCACCAAGGGAAGCAAATCCTCAGCACCAGGCAGACCTTTACAGTAAGTACCAGCGGTTGTCCCACAAAGTAAGACTCTAAGGGGCTGTGTAGGCTTTCCTGTGCTCCTAAACATCTCCCATGTTGCCCACCCTTCTATCCGAAATGCCATCATTACAGTGTTTGCCCCTTTAACTCTAAAGGCTCTGATTTCCAAGAATTTCCTATTTAAATTCTGAGGGACATTCACCTAAGTGTCACTGGGCTCTGACTGTGATAGCACATGCTCAGCACAGGTGTTCTAGGTTCCATAAACTTGGGAGGACTAGGATTAGAACTAGCCTGGCTGGGGCTTATGGGTAGAGGGACTGGTGTCCAAAGTAAGATGGATTCTAAGCCTACATACACTTGAGTGGTCCTCCAGAAAACACTGTGCATGCTGATTGGAATAGAGATCAACCTAACTGCAGGGAGCACTGCTGCTCCATTCTGGACCTTTCCTAGTCCTTGGCCCCTAATTTCAATTCTACTCATTTGGGCTTCCCTAACTCCACCTTCAAGCTTGAGTCCTGGGATGGGTTCCTTCGAAGAGTTCATAACTCTGTGAACTGTGTGTGAACTCTGGGGCCAGCTGTGTGATCTGAAGCTGTCCTTGACACACTTTTCTCATCTGGGCCCTCTTAGGTTGTTGTAGCAAGGAAATGTGTTAACATATACAGGAAGCTTAAACCTCGGGTAGCATACAGTTGGCAGTTACAGGGTTAGATACAGCTGTTCCTCAGTGTCCCAGTTCTTACATGTAGGTCTCGATCTTTCCTCCACCCTCGTGTCTCCCCCTTGGCCTCACAGGGACCAGGTGCTATCTCACCCGGGTCTTTCAAGGCTGAGATACAACCTATGTGTCTCAGTCCTGGTCAGAGCATGAGAAGACCCAAGGAGAGTGTTTCCTCTTCTCCTGATTGTGTCCCATGAGGCAGAAACTGCATTTTTCTGTTAATACTTTTTTCTGTTTTCTACTGCAAACATGTAAAACCCATGTAATGAAAATATCACACACAAAAAAGACGTGAAGAGTCTGAGCCTTGAGCTTACAGATGTTTCTTCTCAGAATACCGAAGAGGGGTACACAACTGTGTATACTTTGAAATTTTGAATACTGTGAATATTTATGGGGTGGTTTTTTTTCCTTGAAATGTACATAGCTTCCCACATGAATCAATTCATTCATTCAACAAATTAAGGAGCCAGCTACATGAATATCTGGTGGGAAAGCATTCCAGACGGAGGGAACAATGCTCAAAGGGAAAACATGTGGATAATAGGAGGAACAAAGATTTATGACCTCGTGTAGGTGTGAAAGAAGCTTTGGATTTTCATCTAAATGTGATAGAAAATGATTCGAGGTTGAGAGCAGGTCAATGACAAGACAGGCTGCCGTGTGTCAACCTCAGTGTCTGCCATATCGAACAAATGTCCTCACTCCTCATTCTTCTGAGAGAGAATGCATTAAGCATCTGCCATCATTTTGCAGCCTTCAAAACGTCTTGTATTACCTGGAAATATATATATATATATATATATATATATATATATATATATATATATATATATAGAATATATATATATATATCACATTTTATAATAAAAATACAATAAATAGAACTTAAAATGCTCACACATTGCTTAGAAAATTAAAAACAAACATCAAAAAGCATGCAGTTATATTATTGACTGGGAACATGTGTCTCTACAGAGAGGAGGTGCAAAAATCACATCAGCAGAGAGAGCTTAGCAATAGTTCAAACATACCCATCAATGCCAAGTGCTGATACTTTTTCCCTTATCTTTTATTAATCAAGCATAAAATATCTACAGAGGTGTGCACAAATCATAAATGTACATCTCACTCAATTGCTGTGAAGCAAACATACCTAGGAACCACCATCCCAGTCAAGAAATAAAACATCACCAGACCCACTCATGCCCACTCCAAATAACTAGCTTTCTCTTCTCCCCAAATGTAACAACTCTCCTGACTTCTATGACCATAGATTAATTTGCCTGATTTAAATTTTTCTATAAAAATAAACTTACTTTATTTGTTTCAACATTATACTTATGAGATTCATCCATGCTGTTGCACATAGCTGTGATCTCTTATTATTATTGCCATATAGTAGTCCATTGTATAAAAAGACTGCAAGTTCCATTCTCAGGTTGTTTTCTTTGGGGCTATTGCAAATACTACTGCTATAAACATTCTCAACCACATGTCTCATCACATGTGATGCATTTCTCTTGGGTGTATTAAGTAGGAGTAGATTTGCCAGTTCATAGAGTGCGAATGTGCTCAACCCCAGTTTATAACATCAAACAGCTTTTAAAGGGTTTGTCCTCCTAACCACCTCGTATGACCCACCAATCCTTTGATTGTCAATCTTTCCTAATTGTAGCCATCCTGTTTTAATTTACACGTCTCCAATTACTAATGAGATCAAGCCTCCTTTTACATGCTTATTACCATTTGGATATCCTTAGTTTCTCTTTTGCTTTTCAAATGTATTTTTCAAGTCATACCTATGAACTATCTTCTGCTCTGTGGTAAATGGTCTTAAGCCATGAAAGAAATGCAGAAGTTTTTCTAAACTATAAAATACCCTTGGGCATCAATTATAGTCCATACAAACCTATTGGTGACCCTGCCCATAGACTGACTCCATGACATGGCTAGCCAGCACTGGCTTTATGCTGTTCCTACCATGCTCTTTTATGCTCAGAAAAGCCGATATGGCATTTGGTAGAGCAGTCCTACCCAACAGGTGCCTTTTGGTCTACTGGGTCTTCTTGTGGCTCCTGAGATTAGTAGAACTAGCAGGTCCTCGAGGGACCATCCTCAGCAAGGGGAGGAAGACAGACCATTTCTAAGGGAACTCATAGGTTTCTTAATTTTATTTTATTATTTTTTAATATATTTTATTGATTTTATACCGAGAGGAAGAGAGAGATAGAGAGTTAGAAACATCGATGAGAAAGAGTCATCGATCAGCTGCCTCTTGCACACCTCCTACTGGGGATATGCCCGCAACCAAGGTACATGACCTTGACCAGAATCAAACCCAGGACCCTTCAATCCCCAAGCCGATGCTCTATCCATTGAGCCAAACCGGTCTCGGCTCTTAATTTTATTTTTAATCAATAAAATATATTATTTAAAAGTTATATTTTACACACTTTAAATTATACAGTACACATTCAACCTCTTTTACCCTATCTTTTTTTTTTTCCTAAATATATCTTATTGATTTTTTTTTTCATGGAGAGGAAGGGAGAGAAATAGAGATTTAGAAACATCAATGAGAGAGAGAGAAACATCAATCAGCTGCCTCCTGCACACCCCCAACTGCGGATGTGCCTGCAACCAGGGTACATGCCCTTGACCAGAATCAAACCTGGGACCTTTCAGTCTACAGGCCGATGTTCTTGCTCTATACACTAAGCCAAACCGGTTAGCCCCCCCCACCCCCATCACCACTTTTTAAATTTATTTTTCCATTGATTTTTAGGGAGAGTGGATGGGATATATAAAGAGAAACATCAATGTAATGGATATATAAAGAGAAACATCAATGTAAAAAACATCCCTTCAGTTGCCTTCCTTAGAAGCCCTGACCAGGGATCCAATTTGAAACCCAGGTATGTTCCCTGACCTGGAATCGAACCTGCAACCTTTCCATACACAGAACCACGTTCACACTCAACCAACCTATCCACTTCAGCCTGACAGTTATACAATTTCTGGGATTTTATTTCAATTAATTCTCACAAAGTCTGTGATTTATGTAATATTCACATTTTGCTGAAGAGGAAAAAAAAAATTCTTTAAGACATTCTTCTTCCCTCATTGCTTTCCTGCCAGCCCTAGGAAGGCTCTTGAGAGCAGTTTCAGTGGTATCTAGAATCAGAAGCGTTCTCCTCACCATTACCCTCTCCAAGCCTCCTCTGCACTGTACTGAGGCTGTCCTGGAGGGCGCAGAGGCTAGGTAACAGAGATGACGACAGGATTTGGACCACAGGAGCCACCATATCCGCCTCTCCTCTCAGCCTTTCTCCATCACTCTGGAGAAGGCAGAGCCAGCAACTTCCAGAAGCACCGAGCTAGGCCAAGGTTTGCGGCTCTAGCTCTTTGGACACAGGAAGTGCTCCAGGGGATGGAACTGCTATTTTTAGACACTTTTAAACACCCCAGCGCCAAGGTAAGACTTCGCTTCTTGGATCTGACTCTGCTTCTCCACTGTGGGTCATGTACAAAAAATCCTTAGACATTCTTTCACTTTCCCTCCTGCTGGTGGCCTTAAATTCTGCAGGTGCACACCCCCTCCCCCAGCTGGGTGTGGGCACCACGTCTGCGGGAGAGAATCCGTGGCCAGGACATTTCTCTGCGTTATCTTAGGCTCCTGCGTCTTTGGTTGAGTTGGCTGTTTTGCTTGTTTTGCTCTCCTGTCCCCTGACCCCCGTCAGCTTTGGGCCTTAAAAATATCTCGGTTCTCGGGTTTAGCTCAGGTGGTGTTTGGGAGGGTCTCAGACTGCCTGTGTTTGACAGCAGTTACAGAGACCAAGCAGGTCACAATGGCTTCATGATTCCTAAATCCCTTCTCCCAGGTCCTTTTTTCTAACAGGAATTAATTAGGGTGCCCAAATGTGACACCCATTTGGTTTAGGATTCACCCATAAGGACATGACATATTTGCACAGACTGGCTTTTGCATGGAGGATACCTGTGAGGAGGGGAATCAGTTGTTAGAGGAACCAATGGCAGATTTGGAACCCTCAGACAAGGAACCTCACTCACTCTCAGCATGTCTCCCCACTGCACTCTCCCTCAGCAGTGGGCCTGGGCATGCAGGAGTGCAGTGGAGCGACACTGCCAAGCGTTCCTCCTGCTCCACCAGATCCGTGGCTCCGGCCCATGCTGCCATCTTTGTGGCTATGGGCGCAGCCATATTTGTTGTGGAGTGATGGTTAATTTGCATATTACCCTTTTATTAGGATTCGTTTCAGATGTACAACATAGTGGTCAGACAATGATATACTTCACAAAGTACTCCCTCCCCCCTATATTTCCAGTAACCACCTGGCACCCATACATAGTTATTACAATAGTATTGACTATATTCCCTAAGCTGTACTTTAAATCCCATGAGTATTTTGTAACTACCAATTTGTACTTCTTTTTTTTTTAATTTCTTTATTGGTTAAGGTATCACATATTTGTCCTCAACCCCCCATTCCAATCCCCCACCCTTCCCCACTCATGCCCCCAACCCCCTATTGTCCTTGACCACTAGTTAGGCTCATATGTATGCACATAAGTCCTTTGGTTGATCTCCCAATTTGTACTTCTTTTTTTAAAAATATTGATATATTTTTTATATATCAATTTTATTTTATTATTTTTTTAATATATTTTATTGATTTTATACAGAGAGGAAGGGAGAGAGATAGAGAGCTAGAAAGGTCGACGAGAGAGAAACACCAACCAGCTGCCTCTTGCACATCCCCTACCAAGGATGTGCCCGCAACCAAGGTACATGCCCTTGACCGGAATCAAACCTGGGACCTTTCAGTCCACAGACCGATGCTCTACCACTGAGCCAAACTGGTTTCGGCCCAATTTGTACTTCTTAATCCCTTTATCTTTTCACCCAAGCCCCACCCAAGACCTCCCACACCTAGAAAACCTCATTCTGTCCTTTGAGTCTATGAGTCTATTCCATGTTGTTTGTTTATTTATGTTGTTCTTAGAGTCCATGTGGACTATTCTAGGCTCAGGAGCTATAGAAAATGAAAGGTCCCCCAATTCTCTGCTTTCTTAAAACATAAATTCAAAGATGTAGAAAGAAGCAATAAACAACAAAGATGGTAATTCGGGAAAGTGCTAAGTGCCATAGTACTTGTTCTTCATGCAAAAATTCAAACAAATGAAGAACTGTACAGTGTTAAAAGTGAAATTCCTCTTTTCATCTCCCATTTTCCACAGTTAAAAAAAAAGTTTGGTGTTTACCCCAAGAATATTCTTTTCATGAATGGATATACACACATGCATTCATGAACACACATAGTTTTATTTTTATTGTTAACATGCATAAAACAATTCTACACATATTATCCTGCTACCCTTTTTTTCACTTAATGTTTGTTGGCACTATTTCAGCATTAACACAAAAATCTGCCTGATGCTCTTTAACTACTGGGTGGTATTATATACCATACCATGAATGTTTTGATTTATATAAAATAAAATAAAATAAAAAACTCCATTAGTAACTAAAATTTTCACACTACAAACCATGCTGCAGTAAACATTCTTATAACAATATATGCACTATATACCCTACACTATATAAAAAGTGTGTGTGTGTGTGTGTGTGTGTGTGTGTGTAGTTGTTGTCAATCAGAGTACTGCACAATCCTAGGGGAGGATTCTAAACCAGTGATTTTAACTTTTTCATCTCATGGCACACAAACTAGTTATAAAATTCTAAAGCACACCAAA